GATGTGAGAGCCTGGTCCGGTGAGGACCCGGCGTGCTCCGTCCCGGCTTTGTAGGGATGCGAGGTCAATGGTCTAACGACTACAGCATGCACGACTATGAGTACACCCCGCCCCCCCCCTATCTATGATCAAATTTTACTCCCGTCCCCCCCTCAACGTACGACAGGCAGTGCTGTTCCCGTCGAAAGAAGAAATCTACCCGACCGCGGCCTTGTGGGCTTCGTGCTTCTACTCCAGCAACGACTGTAAGATGCACAGGTTCGACATCTCGGGAAAGGGGGGCGGCAAGAATGGGTGGCGCTGCTGGAAGAGACTCGGCAGGTGGCTGCGGAGGGAAGGAAGGAGAACGAGGACGAGCAGGAGAAGGAGGGTGAGCAGGATAAGGAGAAGGAGGACGAGCACCAGCAACACCAGCAGCACCACCGGCACCACCAGCACCAGCACCACCAGCACCAGCACCAGCACCAGCCGAACGAATCTCCGAAAGCGGCGCGGGGGGCAGGAGACTGCCTCGACCAACCTGACATAAAGAAACTCGAGCAGGGCGAGGCGGGGGGAGAGGGAGAGGAAGGCGGCGCTGCTAGCCATGGTATCTCTGATTGCGCCGGCCAAACTGAGAAACGGTCGCCAGTAGAAGCCGAAGCTTCCCCTCACCACCCTATCGTCGCCCGACAGGAAAAGGGAGGAGGAGGAGGCGGAGGAGGGGATGCGAAGGGGGACAGAAAGCTAGCCGGTATCATCATCAGTTCACTGAAGAAATGGTTCAGGGAACTAGTGCCACACGGGCTGCACCGGGGTGGTGGCGTGAATGTACACATCGACTGAGTGGAGGCTCCACTCGCAGGCGGGAAGTGCATGTTGTAAAGGGTACAGGAAGAAGCAGGTGTCTGCTGGAGCTGAGTAGCCACACCGTGCAGAGAAAATCTCCTGGAAGCTGGCGGTGGACGCGAAGATTCCTCGCGTGCGGTGGGTGGATTGCCCGTGGGTAGGAACAAGCGCCGAAAAGTTGAACGCGCGAAGTGCATTGCAAAACTTTAGAGAAATTGGAGTGAGTCCTCTTCCTCTACTCAACCCGGCCTGAAACTCTACAGAGAAAACTCCGCACAAGGAGCCATTGTGAGTGGTTGTTCGTCCGTGCACTTTTTTTCTGTGATTTGCCGCTATTTGTACTGTGCCAGCGGGAGTCTTCGTGTCAGACGTGTTTTGTTGTGTGGCAAGTTGTGCGTCGTACATGTCATCGAGTCCGTCTGTGACCATGGCAATTCGCCTTTCTTCGCCGGTGTGGACTGGCGCGTTAGTCGGACAAGCAATACATGTCAATTTATTGTGAACGGGTCGGAGTGGATGGATATCGGCAGAAAGGGAGTGAAACAGTAAATACCTCTCGGGACCTTAGTTCTAGCGACATAGAGATGCGACCGCCCCTGGGCATATGATGTTTTACGGCGGCTGCATTTTGGCATATAACAACATATTCGCCTGATTGAGAGCGTAGCATCTGATTGAGAGCGAGATTGCGCGATACGCTGTAGCCGGACTACCACTGAGAGGTGGAGCTTGCTGTGTAGCTTGAATTGAAGGGCTAGCCCGTAGCTTCAAGCCGCTACCCTGGTCATCCTGTGGGAGTCTCTCGTTGTGGAGCTACAGCGGGGAGCAGAAGCTACAGCAGAGCCCACCGCCCGACGCGATACCGCCCTGAAACAGTTTGAGCAGAAATAGCCAATCTGGGCAAATCTAGCAACTTGTCTAGCTCCTCGCTGCAGCATCCGATGACGATGACACGCATATGCTCGCGAAGCTGCTGATGAGACCTTCAATTTGCACCGCTTCTTGGAATAGCCCGTCCCCTACTTGCCAAGAAATGGAAAGAGGCGTCTGGACCCGAAATTTCAATTTTTTTGGCTCTCGCTCTCAATCAGATACTTCGCTCTCAATCAGGCGAATATGTTGTTATATATGTTTCTTGTCTTGTTTAGCTGGATTTGGTTTTGTAAGGAATGGCCAAGACAAACAATCCTATTGTTGTCATTTTCGTGTCTTTCCGTTTGCCTTGTGAGTGATGATAAAAGGGGCTGTTCATGTTGCTCAACCATCGGCGAGCCCAGACGTGTATGAGGTAGAGGGGGGGGGGGNNNNGGGGGGGGGGGGGGGGGGGGGTATCTGTCTTCTGGTCTGGCATACGAGCCGGTGGAGATATTGTCTCACACACTGAAAGTTTATGACTCAATAGTCTATATTGCCAAGTCTTGTTCGCCGATCCCAAGGTGACGGGGAGGGTTGACCATGCCGCGCGGGTGCAATAGACTAGGTTGGAAGCGAAAGATGGTTGGAGGTGAAAGATCTCCAAAATCGCACGGAGGGGTGGGTGCGAAGCGGCTTCTCCGGGCAGCATATCGCATGCATGCATGTATGCATGATGCAACATAAGGGAATCAATGCCGTTGTTTATTTGTGGTGCAATATTGCTCCAGACCACAGATCTGTCACCGGATGGGCTGTTATTGGAAGGGGAGTGAGTGTGTGTGGCACCTCTGCATCTATCTCATGTCATTCTATTAGATTTGATATTTGAGATCATTTGTTTGTTGTGGGCTTTTCATGTTGGGAAGCGTAAAATTATTGCCACCTTTGCATGGTGTTTATTGTGAGGTGGGTGTGGAATCTCCTGGCAGTGCGTACATTGCTTCGATGTGAACCAGTTCTCTTCTTGGTTAACTTTTTCATGAAAAAAAAAATCATGCATATTTTAACTACTGGTATGTATTAGTATGCAGTCTGTGAGCTGTGGGCTCTGGTTCTTGAAAGAAAGATTCTGTCCTGCAATACATACTACTCTTTTGAGTTGCTGGATTGCTCTCCAATTTTTTTNCGAAAAATTCAAATTCCCCGTGATTGACTGATTGGTCTGATTGGTCTGATTGATGACGCCAGACTTTCACGGGAATCGCCGGCCCCACTTTCTTGTGCCCTGGAGGAAGGCATTTCCTACCGGCTCCTCCGATCCACTCTAGGCTGGGTGGTATTGAACCCACCATCCTCGCCCCTTTTCTTGTGAACTTTTTGTCGCACCCACACGACGGACGGACGGTCTTTGAAAAAAAGGGAGAGCTGCGACAAATCTTGACGGGAAACAATCGTCGCCAGGAAACACCCACACGCTCACAACT